GCCCTGCAGCGCCGCCATTATCACACCTGATGGTGAGAGTCAACAGGTATAGCCAGATTCATCTTCGCGTGAATAAAATAAGTTACGCTAGTGCAAACAACAAACTAATTAATTAGCAATAATAAAAATTAAATAATAAGTACAATCATCGACCACATTAACACTTATATTCAGCTGGGATCGTAGTCACGCACTAGTTAATCATACTAATATTATAACTGCGAATGTTTAAATGGATGAATGGATGTTTGCTAGAGTTTGTAGCCTAAACGGCTAAACGGATTTCGATGAAATTTGGTATAGATGTAGAGAATATTCTGGAAGAACACAGGCTACTCATTTTTTTTTAAATTCCACGCGGAGGGAGTCGCTGGCGAAAGCTATATATAAAAAAAACCACTCACCACGAACAATAAATATCAATAATTTATCAATTATAGCTAGCGATATAATATTACGACACAATTTAATTTCCTTCGACTACAATTTCATATAATTGTATTTATGGTCAAATTGACCTTATTAAAATTCTTAGTCAGTACTGGCGTTAGAATTTAATGACGCTTGACTTAAAAATAAATAAAAACCTCTTTATTTTCATCATATACATTTACATACAGTGAATATATTTAACAAAAAAAATATGATGACAATGGGCTGCGAATTTCAGCCTCACATAAACCTGCGTAAAAGTGTTTATCGTAGAAATCTCGCTGAAGGCGCCTGTAACGTTAAATCCGGCAAAGTGTGCTTTCATTTGTCTTACAAAGTTTGAATAGTAAATTTAAAAATAGTAAGTGAAAACAAGTAGTCAAAGTGTAACAAAACGTTGATTGATACAAGAATTAAAAGACATGTATGGCTTCCGTCTCATCTTACCAATGTCTTTTTACTATTTTTAATCCTATTAACTAACTTCCATTAATTGGAAACACCTAAAGCAGGTAAAGCGACTTAAAGTGTAAGTTTGCTAACTAAATCCAAAATTGCTTTATTAATAACTAGCCTGTTGCTCGCGACTTCGTCCCCATGAAATTATCTAAATAATTGATAAACATAGCCTATGTTACTCAGTGATAACATAGCTATTTAACGGTTAAAGAATTTTTAAAATCTAATCAGTAGGTTTTGAATTATTTCAATACATACAAAAATAAAAATCTTACCCCTTTATATCAAATTCATAATTTTATATAAATTACTATAGACGTTAAGCAGTTATATATTTGTATTATTACATTTGAGTACAAATGGAATATTCAATAGTCTCTTTCTGTATAATGAATGTTTCGATTGAGTCATGTTTATAAAAACTAAACCTATTCATTGTCAAGAGAGAAAGAATGTTTCAATTGTAGAATGCGTTTATCATATGACCTTGAACCGAGGGATTCAATAAGACAGTACAATAAATACTTGACTTAAAAGCCACTTTGAAATTACACATTTTTATCTAGAATTAAAAGAATAAATTAAAACAGACTTACCTATAACTAAAAACATTTTCCCTTGCTGCATAGCTGTATAGGCGAAGGTGTGGTGTGTCAGAAAAGTTATAGTAAACTCGAGGCCGGAGTAAATAAACAAATACATGAAATAAATCAATCCCAATTTTGATAATACTTTGTTTTGATGTTGGGAAAGATTCTCAACTGGGGAGAATTTTAAAAGGTGCCAGGGGGACACATATTCGATGGCTTTAGAAAGAGACAGCGATAGAGGTGATCTTTTATCCTGAAAGAAAAAGTCTTATAAGCCAATAAAACAAAGAAAGGAATTTGCATTCAAAATTAGTTTATAGAACCGTTTTCCACTAATTTTCGTTAGCAACTACTATTTTTATGATCTTTATATGTTTAATTTTCAGTAGAAATAGGAGGCTGTGTTACATTGGTGTCCTTTAGGAAAGGGGCTTCGATTGGATGAATGTACCAACCTTTGACAATGTTTCTGGCAAAAACAAGAATACAAGTGCGATGTTTGCGAGTGAAAGAGAGAGAGCATACAAGGCAGGTCTCTGTCCCCAAAGGCCGAAGTTAGCGTCATTCGTCTTTGCGAACCAGGCGCCTGCCATCGGACCCACTATGAATCCAATTGAAAACGCTAAACCAACAAGGGCCTAAAATAAATACAAATTCATAGTTTATGAAATAAATATATAAAAGCTATAATATAGGCTAAATAACATATGTTTCAAAAATATACATTTGTTAAAAAAGTATCTATTATAGTACCAAAGGTGAACAGGGACATTTGGAATATCTGCTTAATTAACCAATATTTTTGTTTCTTATTATGTTATAATAGATTTAAAATAGCAACTGTGTTTAAATAAAAACGGCTATGTGAATAACCCAACAATTTCAACAACCGTTTTACAATAAAAAAAACTTATTTGTATTATACAGTTTGTGGACCATCAACATTTTCATGTGTTTTGATCTTTGTATGTCATTTCAGATAAAATATTAAAACAAATTTTATAGCACAAAAAATACATATTTTCTCTGCTTGGTTGCTAATTTATCTGTAGTTACTGAAATTCTTTAAAACTGTTACCATTCCACGTGCTCTTGTCTTCTCTCCTGAAGCATCGGTGACAATGGCCATACTGAGACTAACATTAGCCTTGCTCAACCCTCCAATGAACCGGGCTAACACAAACACACTGAATGTACTTGCACAACTCCACAATGCATGGGACACTGCTATCCCAGTCTAAAATAAATTATTATGATAATAAAACATAGTTATTGTTCTAGATATAGGTAATAGGTTTTGGAAATTTTATTCATGACTGATAAGAATAAAATCATACAGATATTACAAATGCAAAAGTTTATATGGATGGATGTTTGTTAAACTAAACTGCTAGACAGATATCGATAAAATTTGACATGGATGTAGGCTCAGAAGACATAGGCTTTTCACTCTTTTTTTAATTCCACGCAAACAGAGTCGCAGGCGAAAGCTAGTAATAAATAAAACTGCAGCACATTTAAATCTCGTATTAATCTTTTTTTATTTCGTAATCAAAAGGTGTGATTTATTTATAATTTAATAGGTAAATTATAATTGTACATCACTTTCAAAGTTAATTAATAATTGAATTAGGAAATCATTAGGAACAGAAAAACAAAGGAAAATTTCACATCCATTTACCCTTGATCATATCAATAATTATAAGGAAAAATATAATTATCCAATTAGATTTTTCAGTGTATAACAGATTTTTAACATATATTTTAAGCAAATATTAGCAGAACTTATTTGGGACATCATCATCATTGTCAGCATCCTCTTTATCCTACTCCCATAGGGTTGGCACAACATAATTTTGTCCTCCAAATAACTATCATATGTCATCTCAGTCACCACTCCTTTTTGATCATGTCACCTTTCATGCAATCCATGCATCTCTTTCTTGGTGTACCTCTACCGGTGTACCACACTCATAACTAACATTCTCCTTGTAACATGCCCATACCATGCTAACCTTTTACTCCTTACCTTCAGACATATTATACTTACATAATATCTAACATTCATAGATATTTGAAACATGTACTTATGTTATCTTTGATATGGAACATCTCTTATATTTTATCATTACATTTCAACTTATATACATTTATCTACAAGAGTTTTATACTAATTTCTAAGATACGGCATCAAATATGAGATCCCAAACACTAAGACATACAGCACACTATTGCAAGAAACTATATTACTTAATACTATTGCGGTGAATGAATTTTGTCACTATTAAATTAAATATTTATTAAGAAGTCTATGTATTCTACAAGATTATGTGTTCACAAGACTATCTTTGCCAAATAGAATCAGGATTCATTATGATATTTTGGAGATACCTTCCATCATACATCCATCCATCTAAACATTTACATTTACAATTTGAGTAACATTAGTGAGAAGTAAGATAAATATCTGTATAAAAAATATTTGGATATACTTACCAAGCAAATTAAAAGCATAGGTTTTCTTCCATATGCATCTGATAAGCTCCCAACAATAGGACTTGTAAGGAATTGCAAGAAACTGTACATAGAGCCCAGTGCCCCTCCAAACAGCACTGATGCAAACCTATCAGGTGCTCCAGTCAACTTCTGGAAGCTTCTCACAGCATATACTAACGATGCATACAATGAATTACCATCACCCTCCTCTTTGTCATAGTAATCAAGTAAAGAAGGCAACAATGGTAAAATCATTGTAAATGCCAAAAGATCCAAAAGCAAAGACACAAAAACTAATCCAATAACTTTCCCTTTTCGTGTATCATCACTCTTATTGTTTAATTTCGTTTCGTTATCATACAAGCCGTTTTCCTTATAGTTGTTGTTGTTTTTTCTATATTTTAAGCCATCATCAGGTAGGTGATCCTGAAAATAAAAAAAATAGTAATAAAATTTAAATGTAAGACAGTAAGTATTATTGTACATTCTCCGTAGCACCCATTTTTATTTTATTAATAAAATTATTGTAACTTTTGAATTAAAACTTTATTTTTATCGCAAAAGTAAATAAAAACTTTCACAAAATTTAACACGCACCATTGTTTACGAAAATCTATCAAGGTTGACTAATGGATTTACTTTACACTGAGGAACTTCTACATCCATCGAATAATTAAAATACTAATACAACACTATTCGAACTTGTTTTAAAGAAAAAACTTTCACTTCCAATTCCTCCCTCCATCACAAGCCGACAACCCGCCAACGTCAAATCAAAGTGTGAATGATGTAGATGTGACAGACAGATCTTCCATTCATTCTCAAAGATTTTTAACTTTTAACCTTTATTACCAATGTATTACTGTATTAGCTTTTTCTTTGTCTATGGATGAACAGTGGCTAAGTCCCTATCTCTGTCTTTCATACCACAGAGCGAATAAAATCGCATTACCAACCTACAAAACCAACCAAATGTCAAATGCTGTAAAAGGAAAAGAAGCCATTTTGTGAATTCTGTGTGTTTTGTATTCGATGTTTCACTAAACATTTTCAGAATAAAGATATTCATATTTTAATAACTTTAAGTATACCATGGGTGAAGATAAAGGTATGTGTTACTTTAAATTTGTGATATGTAACATATTAAGCTTATTTTAATCCGAAACATTTTGGCGTCATAGATCGGCGACGTAGATCACGTTCGAGGGAACGCCGTCGAACAAGATCTCGATCAAGAGACCGAAGAGAGAAGAGGAGAAGTAAATCAAGATCACCATCTAAGAGATCCCGTCGCCGCAAGCCCTCGCTGTATTGGGATGTACCGCCACCGGGATTTGAGCATATCACTCCACTGCAGTACAAAGCCATGCAGGCAGCCGGACAAATACCTGCGAACATCGTTGCAGACACGCCACAAGCTGCAGTGCCTGTAGTTGGATCAACAATAACAAGACAAGCGCGAAGATTGTACGTCGGAAATATACCATTTGGAGTTACTGAAGAGGAAACAATGGAGTTTTTCAATCAGCAGATGCACCTGTCAGGTTTAGCGCAAGCGGCTGGTAATCCGGTTTTAGCTTGCCAGATTAACTTGGACAAAAACTTTGCATTCCTTGAGTTCAGATCTATTGATGAAACAACTCAAGCTATGGCATTCGATGGGATCAACTTCAAAGGTCAGAGTTTGAAGATAAGGAGGCCGCATGATTATCAACCAATGCCTGGCACCGAGAATCCAGCAATCAATGTGCCAGGTATGTCTTTTTACACTGTTTATGTTTATATAGATGTGGAAAAAAGAAAATTGTGTCATATTAGTACAGTTAGGATATGTTGCCTGTTCTTGGGTTGAGGATTGTTCTTTTTATGTAGCAATTTTTTTCCAGCTGGTGTTATAAGTACAGTTGTGCCAGATTCTCCACATAAAATATTCATTGGCGGCCTCCCCAACTATCTCAATGAAGATCAAGTAAGTGGGCTTTATTATTTAATTATATGTAAGTCAACTGTATTTATTTTGGAATCAGAGAGGTCCAGGGCAAAAAAAGGACAATGTACTAAATTTGTTGAAGGGTAAATAATTTTAAAAGTTTGTAATAATTTTTGAATTAATATTATTAGTAGTATTTTTGCCCTATACATTTGTATGCAATACTATATGTTTCTATATATAAAAACAATGTAAACCATGAAAGCTGACTGCCATTTCGTGTTCAATTCAAAGATAGGCATTATTGTGATTCTTCACAAAAATTTCAGTACTCAAAGTGCAACTAAACATGCATTATTATATGTTTCAGATGGAGTACCATCTAGGGTGCAACCATCTCTGTTGAAACTTAATATTATAGCCTTGGAAAATATTGCACAACATATTTGCGATACAGAATATTTAAAAAATTTAGTGATATTTTCCAAAGGCAAAAATAGTGATGAATGTCAATGCGTATAATACGAAAATTTCCCAAAAAGAGACAATTTCAGATATGACATTTAATGTTTTTTCAGTAATCAAATATTGACCCGGATGTGAATTGCATAGATCTTGTCGATTTTAGGTTATTTAGATAGTTCCCATTAAAATATTCGTAGAGGCCGCTGCCATTTTCAGGACGAGATTCAACAGTTGACAGGGCTATGGTGCAGCAAGCAGCGAATCGAGTTATGTTTTGGTCCCTTTCAGGTATTTTCAGGTACTCGTAACGGACGAGTGTGTACATTACACACTCGAGATACATTTGAGACAAGTAACTGATAGTTTGCTTTCTGCCCCTCCCTAGCATAGATTTGGCACATTCGCGGCCCGCGTGTCACTGTTGTCTCTCAGTCTCACACAAGTCTCGTACTTGCCCGAGACGCCGGCATGATAAGGCAAGTCAGCACCATTCATATCTGATTCTAACATGCAGCTAGTCGCAGGTCAGATTGTAATATGTATTCATATCTATGCTGCAATTAATGTGTAACGGGAACTAAAGTTTTGTTCAATTAGTTGTAACAATATATAATAAAGAAATTATTATATATTTAGTCCTTGTAGAAGTGTTTTTGGCAAAGGACTTACATATAGGTGTGTGTGACAGGTGAAAGAACTTCTGATGTCATTTGGTCAGCTCCGTGCATTCAATTTGGTGAAGGACTCCTCTACGGGCCTCAGCAAAGGCTATGCTTTTGCTGAATATGTAGACATATCTATGACCGATCAGGTAAATTAATATTTTACGAATTATGCAAATTATTTGGATCAAGAATATTATCAATAATGCATTTTTTGTTTTTCTTAAAAGGCTATTGCAGGTTTAAATGGTATGCAACTAGGAGATAAGAAGTTAATTGTGCAGCGAGCGAGCATCGGTGCCAAGAATTCTACGCTGGGTGTGTACATCCAATGTAATTGAAAACATTTATTTTTTAAATTCCTAACCTTCTATCTATTTTTTTTAGCAGATTGTTAAACCTTGTATTATTTTTGTTTGCATACTAAGGTATGATCTAGGTCAAGATTGGTTTGCATGTTGACGACATACCATTTATGTATTCTGTGTAACTTTAGTATGAAATCTTGTGGTAAGTCAAATTTAATCAATTTTAGTACACATTGCAATATTTTGATATGAAACTATACTAAAGTAAAATATTACTATTATTGAGTATAAGTGACAAAAAATATTAAATTTTTGACTGTTGGTTTTTTTTTTGTCATATACAGGATGTCCAGAAATCGTGTGTACAAGCATTTCACATATTGTCTAATTTAAATGTTATGAATAAACAAATGTTTTTGTACACGGTGTATTGCGACAGTCTGTATCCCAATGAGTTGGTTATAAAACATATGTAATGTGTATGCAGCGATGACTGGCGCGGCGCCGGTGACGCTGCAGGTGGCCGGGCTGACGCTGGCGGGCGCCGGCCCCGCCACGGAGGTGCTCTGTCTCCTCAATATGGTCACACCGGACGAACTGCGCGACGAAGAGGAATATGAAGACATTCTCGAAGATATTAAGTAAGAATTCAGCAACAACTCACATTGCAGTGGAATGTCTTTTGGTCCTTGTTTACTTCTTGCATCCTAAATAGCCTATAACTAAGAATATTAATTTAATTCTTATTTGCCCCTCATTGATCACAATCGTGGGTCCCTTTAATAGTTTCTGAGATAAAAATGTCAAACTCTGCATCCTTGTTATATTTTGAAATACCTGTAATCAATTTTTAGATGTTGCTAATTTTTTTTGTTATTTCAGAGAGGAGTGCAATAAATATGGCTGTGTCCGCAGCATTGAGATACCGAGACCTCTAGAGGGGGTAGATGTCCCCGGATGTGGAAAGGTGAGGGAACATTTTTAAATATTGACAAGTCATTTGATTGTTTTCTTGAAGTGACTGATATTTGTTTATTTTTTTTTTATTAATACTTCGGTGGTTTTTATTCAGGTGTTTGTCGAGTTCAACAGTATCGCGGATTGTCAAAAAGCGCAACAGACGCTGACAGGGCGCAAGTTCAGCAACCGGGTCGTGGTGACGTCATACTATGACCCCGACAAGTATCACCGCAGAGAATTTTAACATGTCTGTTGCAGCCACTAACTAAGTGATTAATCTCTTAATGTATTCAAATCAGACATTTGTGGTTTAATAAAAAGATTTAATTCGATTCCATTTTATTTAGTCGTTTTATTGTAAAAGTCTTAACATTAAACTAAACATTTGGAATAAATGTAAAAAATAGTTTTACATATTACAATATTTTGCAAGTAAATGTCTTCATAATCATTAACTTTTATTTTACGTTCTTGTATTTTCGTTTCAAGTTAACTTTAAACTTAAACTTAATAAAAGTCGTTACTTTAGTTTATTGATAAACTAGCGAATTAAACATCTTCGTTTTGTAACGCCGGCTGGTATGTGTTGAGGGAGCCAGTCTCAGAGGAGAGCACTATCTTACGCATCACCACGTATAGAACTCCGCCAACGAGCAGCATTCCTATTCCCGCCATTAAACTGATCGCCCAAGCCGGTACAGCGTTGCCATCTGGAATACAACGTATGATTTAAAAATGGCGCCACTTTTGTATGAGAAACTATTGCTACCCTTATTTCTTCAAAGGAAATGACAGGGATGCAAATATTTCAACAGTGTATTGTAATTTTACTAGCTTATATCTGCTGATTGGAGAATATAATTCTTTTGATAACACAATTAACATGATTTTAAATGGCTTTCCGTTTAAGTTATTTGGGAAGAAAAACAATGACTCACGGTAGTACGTCCTTGTCATAACACGTCTTCCTCTAAGAATTTTTCTCCTCGCTTCTGCTTCTTGAGCGATGGTACTTAATATAACTGAAAAAATTAAGAATAAATTATGAATTAATCTATTAAGATTAATATAATTAATTAATTAACAGGGGTGATATTGGACTCACATTTGACGAAAATGTAGTTTTTCAAATATAATGTTAAACAAAACCTATTTGAAAAAATAAAACGATTTTAAATGTTATTTGGTTCGGTTGTGCCCTAGAATATTTTATTGAACAGCTTACCTACTTAACCAATTACGATGTAATCTTATTTACCAAGGACCTATTACATGAATTATACAAAGCCCGAGCTTACCTAAAATAGCGGCGAAGTAGAACAGTAAGGGCTTCTTTTGAATCATCTTAGCAATTTTAAAAACAGATTTTAAAAAGTAATAACAACAATACAAAGGAGTTTTTATAAAACTTGTGGTTACGGTACGACACTAGAAACACGGGTGTGTTTTTTAGCACAGGCTTATCGCTCTTAGATAAGATAATGATTACTAATAAACGTGAGTCGTCCGTGCTTTGTACTTGTGAAATATTTTGTTTGAAACAGGATTCTATGAAATATGTCATGTAAAAACACGGTTCTTGCCAATCGCTACTCAATATTAAAATTAAGAATTTAATGTAAGCGATCAAGAATCCGCAGTGTAGTTATGACGTTAAATATTTCATGCTTCTTATGTTAAATAAACATAAGAGATTACACATTATTGCAGCTATTTGTTTCGCATCTCATACCTACTCATAATGCCACTGCGAAAAGACCTAGACAAGGACTTATAATGTAAACATTAGTTTAAATTGAATAAGTGAATAGCATATTTCAATTCGAGGGTCTAGCTACAGCTCAGACCAAACTCAGACGAAAGCTGTTAAGTATGCAAATTAAATGTATGATTGAGCGATGTTGGGCCAATTTATTACTTAATTTTTATAATTGAGCATTATTTGCGTTTATTATCAAATTGTGCCTAGCCCAGTTATGCTCCAAAAATAGGGTTTTCACTTTATTGAAATACAAGGTAACTATGGACGCCTAAAAGAAATTCGATTCTCCTATTAAGTTTTAGTTTTATTTGAAGAAGTGCAGTGGAGATTTTAAAAACGACAAATCTCTATGAGCATTGACACTGACAGATATTAGTCAAAGTCAAAACGGTTAGATACTCTTTGATCTCTCTGAGAGATCAAAGAGTATCTAACCGTTGATCAGAGAACCGTTATCAGAGAATGAGAGATTCTCTCATTCTCTGATAATTAAATGTCAAAAAGTTATTTTTGTTGTGCCTACTTTTAACCTTAAATTAAATATTACAAATATATTTTGCTTTGTTATTACCAAACGATAATTAAAAATTTAATGTAAAATGGCTACTAGTCGTTTAGAAAGAATTGGTACAATATTTACAAGGTATGTAAGTTGATACAAAACTTAGTACTATGGTAACTTAGTAACATTACCTGCATCTTTTAAACAATAAAATTGAAAGTTCTATGAAATTATTTTGCTGGGACTTGCTTCATACTTCTTCCGCCAAAATAATTATATTTTACTTCCTAGAACCAACTAGTTTTGAAAGAGAATATGTGTACAATAACAATTTCAATTGCAAGATAAATTATTGTTATTATATTCTTTATAAAACTGTCTTATGATTTACGATATTCTATAGAGTGGAAGGTCTCCTTACACGTGGGGCAATGAAACCTGACGACCGGCCACTTTGGTTTGATGTGTATAGAGCATTCCCTCCAAATGAAGAACCCAAATTTGCAAGACCTAAACCAGAGGTGAAGAAGATAAGACAAATTCTGTATAAAGAGGATGCAATTAGAGCGTAAGTAAATTCGTAAATACGCTTACCTATACAAATTACTTGTAAATTCTTAGATGTACCATCTGATTCCTTCCTTTGTTTAAGACAATTTTGATTTAATTATTGGTTGTTGATAAAAGATTTTTTTGTATCTGTATAAAAAAAAAACATATATTTATTACAGAAAGTTCCATGCAGAGGGCCATGGGTTAGGAGTAAACATGTTAAATCCATCAGGAGAGACACAAACTAAAAGATTAATACAACAATATGCAATGTTAAAATCGGAAGGAGTGCCAGAAAATGAATTGATTGAAAAATCAATTGCCGCTGTTTCAGCGGAGCGTCAAATATCTTCCAAAACTACTAAAAATCCAGATTCAGTTACTGCTCAAGTACTGGGCAGTGCAGACATAAAGAACATATTCAAAGAATGATAGTCATAAAAAATTCTGAATTGTAGTCCTTATTGTTTAGTTTAATGTATAGTAATGTTAAAATAAATGAGTGTTATGTAGTTGTTTTTTTATATTACTTTTGTTTCAGTTTGTAGTACCAGCCATTATAAGATTTGATACATTAGACAATAATAACTAGGATATACTCTCAGATGTTTATTTTATATTCATGATTGGTAGTAAAAATGTGGATATTATATTAGGCTTAACCTTGTGCTTGTTTATGCTAAAAGAAGTAAATGAAACGAAATAGCAGTTTAAAGTAATTTATTCAAAACACAAATTAAAATTAATATTACAAAAATAGAGAAAGAGATTGCGAAGTTGCAAAACTTGGAATTATAGAATAAATTAATAAATAGGAATTTTAACATATCAACAATGGTTTCGCATTACTTGAAAGAATTTTTTTTGCAAATTTTCCCACTCATTGCGCTTAATTTTTGCAACAAGATTCTCTTCTAATTTTCTCATATCCTCTTCTAATTCTTCTCCAAGTTTATTGGTTTCCGCTTTATGATCTGCTTCCATTTCTTCACATCTGTTAAAATAACATAGAATGAAGATATGACTAAAAAGAAAATTACATTTAATACAAGAACAATTGTGTTTATTACTCTTTTTTAAATGCACCATGGATTTCTTTTAAAGTCTTCAATTTTTGTTTGTGAGAATTGGTAGCCTGTTGAATGCATTTAATGAAAGATGCCGTTAATTGTTCTAGCTTTTGTTCATTTTCTTTCAAAACATTGTAATCTGCCTCAAGATTAGTTACAACTTCCATTAAACTTCTGAGTAAATTTTCGTACGTTTGTTTTCTGGAAAGTATAATTAATGTTATAAATACATACCTTAAAATAACCAAAAAAACAGTGATTTATAAGATTATTACCTCGTTACGATTTGTTCATTCATTGCATTTACTAGTTTTCGACGCGGTTCGCCGCCAATTTTGATGCTTTCATCGTTTCGCTTTTTCTTAAATACGGTGGTATTATTAGTTGTTGGATTTCCCTCTTCTTGTGCTTCAATTCTCTGGCGCTTTTGAACCTTCTTGTTTTTAGGTGAGAATTTTCCATAGTGAGATTCATCTAAATCATCAGACATGACGTTCAATTTAGTCGACTTTTTCACAGACATTATAACAATACCTAGTTTTAAAACAAATTAATAAAAATCTTCAAGTAGTTACGAGAATCACGCAGCGCGGGAAAACTT